TTTTTTTGTTGCTTTTATGGAACATTTGCAGTATTAAGGCTATTCACACAACTATAGACTTTAAAATATCTTGCTTTAAATAGTTTTTTTTTTGCAATGATATTTTTTTTTATTGATTTAAGGTTTCAGTTTTGATAATTTTTTCCATTTAATTTACAGTCAAGCCTCAACAGAATTTAAGTCCATACAAAAAACCCACAGCACCTATATCTAGTGGACCTATTAAACCACGAACACCAATACCATTGATGTCTAAGGCACCTGATGTTACTCTTAAAACTAATAAAGAAGAAAGTGAATTACAGGTATACATAGTCTTAGTTCTTTGTGTATGACATTTCAGAACATAAGTTTTCAATTCTAAGGCATTTGGATTTAAACATATGGGCAACTAAATATAAATACATTTCAAAGTGGAAACTTTAAAAAAAAATTGATTTTTATTCCCAATATCCTGAAATCAAAAGTAATTTCAAATAAACAGTGTCTGTATTAACCCTTTGAACCTGAGTGTAAATGAAATATAATATACCCTGAACTCCAAGTAATGAAAGTAAAAGCATAATGTGCACTTAGTAACGGCCGGTAGTAACTGGCTGCTCCGGTATATATTGCGTTAGTGTGTGGCCGTTTTGAAAGGGTTAATAGCAATTATATTTTCAAATATATGAAGATTATAAATTCTTATATAAAAACTGTTATTTGACAACTTTTTATCTCTCTTTGTTGTTTTGTTTTTACAGAAATCCTTATCCACAGAAGAATTGACTGCAGAAATGGCAAATCTTGAAGGCTTAATGAAAGACTTGAACGCTATAACACAACAGGAATTTGAGTGCTAGCAAGGACATCATTTATATGTGTGTGTTATTTAGTGTTACGTATGAAGAAAAATGTGCTATAATGTGTCTTTTTGAACACAATTGTGTGAACATGATGTTCTCAAAAACTAAAGAACATCATGAAAAGCCCATGTTTCGTAAAATTGATCCTTAATGGATCACCAATTTGTGATATTGACACAAAAAAAGGAAGAAACTTGAAGAAAAGTGCATTTTTAGAACATTTTTAGACAAGTCTTTACAACAAGCCAAAATAAGGATATTATTTAATTCTCAATAAACTGGTGCTTTAAAACCTTTGTTTTCAATTTTTTTGGAGTGAAATATATGACTTGTTCACAGCTGAATGACTGCAAGATTATAGATCTGAACACTGAATAAAGATTTATGTGAACAAAACTTGTGTATCTATATATGTGTTTACAATTTTATGTGCAAAAGACAATATATATTTGACATTTATTTGTGTATACATGTATATATATAATTTTGCAATACCTACTTCCTTTTTCTTTTTTTTTTCTGAAAAACACAATTTAAAAATTTACAAAAACTTTGAAACTTTCAGGGTACTCAAAAAATGTACATTTGATAATCAAATCAAATTTAATCATTTAAATTAAAAAAAACGCTCAGATGTTTTGGTATTGCATTGTGGCTTGTTTTTATTGTTTTATATCATGATAAGGGATGCAATTGTAAAAATACTGATCTAGTCTTCCAAAAATCAAAACTTTTCTGTTCAGCCCCATTTAAATTAATTCAGCTTCTTTAACGTTAACAGTACACCTCTGCAACAAAGCCTAATATTTTATATGTTTCATGTAATGTTTCTTAATGCATTTTAATGTTTTATAACAAGTTTTGGTGACTTGAAAGGAATTGAATGGAGTTTTACATCCTATTTCTACAGACTAAAATTCTTATAACAATCTATAAAAGATACTGAATAAAACAGTGTTAGCTATGTTTTAGGGAAATGTCTGTAGTCTGTTGACCTATGATAAAATTATTAGCTGTCTTAACTCTCTGAAAAGGGATTCCCAATTGACTCACCCATCAGCAGAGTGGCATTGATGTTGTTCATAATTATGTTCCAGCTTACTGTGAAATCATTATTATTTGTAGGTAATTATATCCAAAATTCATGTCTGCATGAAATATTATAAACTGTAAAGTTATTACAAGCAAGACAATTCCGTTAATCAAAATCTCGTCTAAAGTATGGCAAATTCTTGAATAAAAATTGTATAGTAGTGGACTCCTTCTAAGAGAAGTTCCATCAGGTGTTTCGAAAAGAGTCTTTTGGTATTGATAGATTAATGGAAGATTATCATAATGTTTTTGAAAATAATAAGAAAGTATATTATTGGTTCCCACTAAATATAAACCTTAAGGTAGTTAATACAGCAAGCAATCATATTCATCTTTGTCTGTCACCATTTATGTTTTTGTCAACATTATTTATTAATTTATATTCTAATCCATTTATTATGAACAAAATCATTTATTTTCTAATTTCATTTAAATACATTTAACTCATTTTTTTTTATATTTATGTGGCATTTCACTCAACGTGCAATAAGGGCTGATTTCATCTACTTACAGTTTTTAAATTTCGATTTTTGTTTTGTTTTTTTAGCTTTACTTAATTTTTCAGATCTGAAGCAATACTGTTTGAAATTTTGATATTGTTTAATAGCTTTTGAGCTTTGATTTTAACTTTTTATTCTGGAATTGTAATTATTCTGTTTTAAGGAATTTGAAGCTGTAGATTTTTAAGCCTTTATTGTGCATATTTACTTTTACAAATATTACTTTGATGTGTCAATAATTGTAAATCATTTTTTAACATGGAGAATTCTAAGGCAGTACATTATTTTATTTGAAAATTATAGGCCTACAATGAATGTATGTCATATATGTTAGAAAATGAGAACTATTATCATGTAAACACACAGCATTGATATATCACATTCAATATATTCTGTTTCTCACCCCTCCCTTCCTTTGTAAATAATTAATATAATCTAGAATGTATGTGTAGTGTATAAATTATTTTTCACATACAATATTATACTATAAAAATTTATGATGTTATATAAATTTTTTTCATTGGAAAATTGTGAAATTGAAGACAAATTCTTTTTGTGCTTATTGATCGGTGTATTTGGAAACCAAAATTGTATCTTACAAGGAACTTTACAAGACCATTATGTTTGGGTTCCTAATCTATACTGCTTGTAATTTCATGTACTGAGAAGCAATTTTTACTTATTTAGAACATTAAGAGTCGAGTAAAGAATGAGTTCAAGCAATTCCTTTGATTTTGATTTTTAACCGAAAATGACAATTTATAGTTAATGGAAAAAATTTTCAGGTTTTGTATCTGTTTATAATATAAGTCCCTTTTCTTTGCTCATTTTCATCTAAGAAATATATAAGCCTATTAATAATATTGTATATTTTGAGATTGTCTGTCTGTTTATTTTGATAATTAAAATATCAGCATCATAATCATAGAAAGAAAATATTATGACAATGTTATTCAATATTAACAATTAACAAATGAGTGTTTCTATGTTATTTACCAAGTCTTTAGGCAATAAGAAATTTTACAGACAATAATAGAAAACTTGCACTTAAAAGACTTTTGAATTTAACTGATTTATGGTGTATGTTCATTTTTGGTAATATGTTAGCACTGAAATATTTAAGATTAAGTTAGCTCTTTTCAAATTTTTGCAACATCATGAAGAGCATAAGATCCAACAAGACAAGCTTAATTAATCAAATACTTACATATATAATATTATTTTAACAAAACTTACAAACCACCTAAAGACAGCTATATATATTTGTATTTTGTTCATTTATTTACTTTTTTTTATATTTACATCATTTTCTCACCTTTCAGTTATATAAAATTCATCAATTTTATAATTTTTTCAGGAAAAATCATCATTTCTATATAAATATTATTTATGATCTTATAACCATGTTTTCTAGTAAAATTGTGTAAATTGTCATGAAAAAAGAAGATATTGTCATCCTAGTGCCTAAACGTCTTCAATAAATCACATATCATAAAATGAATTGTTATTTGTGGTGTGTAATTGATTGGTGGCGGGGGAAATAGTTTTGCCCCAAATATGTGTCAGAAGGCACCAAATCAATTCAAGAATTGCCGCATTTTAAAGTTTAGCAGTCACCCATGTGCGTCCGTCAGTCCGTCCACAATTGCCCGTGTGTTTGTAATAACCCAAGGATGAACCCTATTGAGAGTCAGAAGAATCGAAAAATATTTAGTATGAGTATGAGCCCTTGTTCTTGAAAACGCGTTCAATTTTTAGCTCGTAGACACTCTAGAAGGCGCAATTCTTGGTGGGTTTTGGCGAAACTTGACATGAGTGTTTGTTATCAACCAAGGATAAACCCTATTGAAAATCAGCAAAATCGAAAAATAATTAGTATGAGTTATTGCCCTTGGTATTGAAAACGCGTTAAATTTTTAGCTCGTAAACACACTTGGTTTGAATGTTCGTAATCAGGATGGACCCTATTGAAAATCATAAGAATTGAAAAATATTTAGTATAAGTTATTTCCCTCGTTCTTGAAAATGCTTTCAAATTTAGTTCTTAAACACTAAAAGGCATGATTTTTGCTGGATTTTGACATAACTTGGTTTTATTATTCAGTCCCGCGCTGAAGATTGAATATTTGCCTTCTAGAGTTGAACACATTTTCAAGAACAAAGACAATAACTCAATATTATTCAGTATTGCGCTAAAGAGTTCAAAAGAAGTGTATGACTGAAGGTTGAATATTTCATACTATCTTTTTAAAGTAAATGCCCGATTTATGAATTCCTTTGTTTTTAAGTCTGCTGAAGTTGGTTTTCTTTTTATAAAGTATGTCAGATGGCATGAGGTATTCTAAACTGGCGAGAATACCCGGTCTTGCTAGTGATAGCCACCAGAATGACGGAGCTGGTTGAGAATATCTGAACTTGAACTCGAGAACTAACCTATGCTATATCAGATAGATTGAAAATATCTCAATTAAATTTGGCAATGTCATGGATATGTGAGAACTGTACTAAATAACCTTTTAAAAATAAGGAGGGCATTACTATCTATAAGACGGAAAGATAGTACGTGTAATCTAGAAGAAGACAAATCTTATAGAACCATCTGTTCGTTCACCTTTCTGTGATCTCTTCTGTTGGGCAAAAATAGTCAAAATGTTACAACTAGTTTTATCTTTGATATTTATATCTTCTGCAGTATGTAAGTACTTTTGCACATTTTTACTACGAATTAAGAATTAATAGTAATTATGTTGAATTAAGTAATGATAATAAGTAATTGTTGACTGTCAAAGTAATGTCAACGTCATGTGTAAAACATAGCTTGCTTCAGCCACACTATTCTTAGTGTTCCAGATTTGAACACCATAAACTGAAATTTCTTTTACTTTCTACTAGTAACATATTTTCCATAATCATAATTCTTTCAGATGGTCAGTCTTGTCCGAATGGGTATATACGTCATGATAAGTCATGTTACGCCGTAGTGACTAATCCTACGGCAACTTGGCCTCACGCACAGGTAAGGTTCTTAAGTAACTTGCTACAATTGTGTCTTTTCCAATATTTAAATGTCATCTGATCGAGGAAGCTTTAACTGACGTATAATATTAAGTGAAACTAGAGTGCTCAACAGAAGGTTGTGCTCAGCACTTAATCGGCCAGTTGATTTGTATTGATTTTACATTTGCCAGTGACGGCCATTGACAGGTAATGAACGAGTAAGTGTCCATATTACACCAATACCGTTGTATTTCAGGCATATTGTGATGGTGCTAATGGGCATCTTGTTACTTTTGAAACAGAGGCAGAAAGGTCGTACGTTCACAATTATATTCAGAACAGATTCGGTATGTTCATTTTATAAATTCGAAATAGGAGGAAATAGTTGAGATGTATATCGTAGGCATTCTACGACTGGTGATGATGGTAGTAGTATATGACAAGCTAACATCCAATTCCAGACAACTGATTCTTGTACTGCAATTCATGGCATTCTGTACGATTTCAGCTGAAGGTTGTTCCAAAATAAGACCAGTTATTATTCCAGGGCCAACAAATAAATATTACTGGATCGGTGGAGTCAATTACATTGATGGTTCCTGGGTTTGGATGAATAACCTTACAGCTGTTAACTTGAACTGGGCTACCGGTGAACCAACTAGAAATTCAAATGAACATTGTCTGTTAATGGTAGCTACCGAATTTGGAAAATATGCTGATAATACTTGTGAAGATGTCAGTTCTCAGGACACAAACCATCATCCATACGTATGTGAAAAAGAGTAAGTTTTCTTTCTTGACATTGGTAAGATTTGTGATGTTTAATATGCTTGTATTTCACATTTTTTTTTACTTCTTGACTTACTTTACTTAACGGGGAATGTTCGACTTAAATTTGATACACTTGTTTCAAAGGTAATCCAACAACTTTCTTCATCATTTGCTATCCGGAATTATTATCAACTGTTATTGGCTGGAATCTCAAAGCAGATAAATAATAGCTAAAGCCATGTTTGTAATTATATCTTTGTAAAATTATGTTTAAATGTCTTTTTTTTTATTTCAGAGTTTCCTAATCTTCATTCTAATTTACGTATAAATAAAGATATTTTGCTTATTTCGTCTTTCTTAGTTTCTCTTCGTATTAATAGTGCATCAAATCCATGTAATCTGTTTTTAGAACAATGATCGTTCTTGGATTGGATTTGAATTCATGGTACATTTTGGGCTTCTTATTTACCACTTTCCTTTGATATCAATATTTTTGCGTATCCAAAGAATGTAAATTGTTTTCGTTTTGTAACTGATTGTAAAGAGGAACTTATGATACAGATTGGGCTGTAACTACAAATGGCATCTGTGGAACTGATAGGTCATTCATAGATGAATTTTCGCCTCTAATCGTGCTTCTGGTACCAGAAAATGCAATCGGATGCAATGATTGGCCACAAACGGTCTGACGTGAAAGATCTCCTAGGCAATTATTTCCCACATTTGATGGGGGTGGGGGGGGGGGGGGGGGGCATATAAAAAACCTCTGTAGAAGACACTTTCTTTTCTCTAGACGCAAGTAGATATCGTCAAAATGCCTTTCCAGTCTTTAGGCTGAAATCTTAATGAGGCTCAGACCTAAAGATGTTTCACAGGGACACTGTTTGCAAAAGAGAAAGGGCAAAATTCACAATGTACAAATTCTGTTAATATTTTGATGTTTTATTGTGCCAATTACAATTCAATTGTTGAAGCAAAGTCTATATCTTAATTTGCTCTGAAATGAAATAATATATACAATGATGTTATCAATCACACAATGGACTAAGCGGAGAATCATTCGATTAAGCTTCTCAACAAAGAAAATGTGACCATCTCAAAAGCCTCTTCGTATGAAATCTGTTAAAATCTGTACTTGGACTTTTTCCAACTAGTTTTCATATTTATTGACAAAGAAAACTCAAGGAATGTATACTAATTTGATTTCATATTTTTTTAAGTGTACAAAAGGCTTACCTAGCTTCACAAAGGAACGCATTTTTAGCATCACATTCAAAGTCTGAGAAAAGATAGTCAGTCTTCTGTACCATCATTAAGCATTTTTCGCCAACTCTTCCGGTAGGATCTCCAGGATTCCACTTTATATTATCAATTGGTCTACTTCCCCAACTCCATGAACCATCAATATAGTTATGTCCACCAATCCAGTAGTAATTATATAGAGTTCCTGAAAACAAAATAAATGTGCACCTTAATAATGATCGGGTTGAGGTAAGACGGTTCAACAAAATTTCGCCATACTTTATGGATAACATATAAAGTTATGATGGTAACTTTCGGGTTTGTTTTAAATTGAGTGTGTATTAGTAATCAACAATATATTGCGTCCTTACTCGCCGATTATCCATTTTTAACTGATGCTGTAATTAATCAATCCTGCTCTGTCACTCAGTGATCCGGACATGGTATTTCTACCATGTTTCACTTTAGTAGGAAAACCTCGTATTACAGAACGAAGTGTCACGTGCTTTTCAAACCGACTAATCTACATGCTTCTGCGTACGTTTTGCTGTTGTTTGTACACACAGAAACTCACGAATAATATATAACGTGTAAGGGTGACCCTTTCGAATGTAAAAGTCATTTTCATGGGTCAAATGTTATCGATTCAAACGCATTCATATGGATAAAGTAAACCAGAGTCACATCGATGGACTTGGAGTGTTTACTCGGCCCCCATCCAGGAGGGTCAGTATAGCTTCAAATATTATTTGTCTATATATATAACCTACCATATTTGTTATTTATGTAATTTTTCAAATAATTTCTTTCAACATCACCATCAACAACGGATAAATACCCCCCAATGGCCCCACAATATGTCTGAAATATATAATGTTTTTAATATTAAAAGCATCGAATTAATTCTAAAAATGTGTCCAAAAGATGTTTTTACAATTGTTTGGGCACACTTATAGATTCCAATAAAACCATTTTGAATTCCTGCCTATGGCTGCTGAAATTCGTAAACATCTTTACCAGACGATGAGGTAACTTTGCGAAAATATTGAAGTGTAATGACAAATAGAAACCATAAGCTTACAAATCCCCGATGACAATTGATTAGCTAGAACAACTTTGAATGCACACTAACAGAATAAGATTATCAGAAAATTTCAGACATCTGCATATTTGAACTTATTTAGCCAGAAGTAACACGTGATAACCATGACAAACTAGAATATTTGATGTTAACACATACCGATGCTTCAGGCCAGGTTGTTTTAATTGGAACTACAGCATAGCAAGAGCCATCATGTTCGTCATATCCATTTGGACATGAAGACAAAACTATATAAAATATAGTAACATATATAAACTGTGATGTACAAACAGTTGGAAACCAGGCACAGCTCTGCATTTGATCATTATCTGCTTCTTGATTTCATAGTTAACTCTTTAGACAGTTAATTTAAATATACAGATAACCCTGTCTCTCCGGAACAGTAACACTCGATAGATATCAATAGATATCGCAATTCGTCTTCGATATTTTGTTCTTTGAATTAATGCAATAAAGTTTAATATTTTACTATCATGCTCCATACTGTAGATGTGAAGACATTGACGGTTGCAACGAGGGGAAATTCATGAAAATTTCACCTACCTGGGACCACCAGTAAAGTGATGAAGACCAGCAATGGTGTCATTTTGATTTCAGAATGACATTGACTTGTTCATTGACCACCTTATCTTCAGCCCTACTATTTAACTGACCTACATTCCATATTCTCATGAACCAAATTAGAAATTTTGACCGACTTTGCATTCTTGGAATAGCCTTCTGGCTGTTTTCGTGCCAAAATGTCACTAAGTACTGTCCACTCCCTAATTGAAATATTTGTAGATTTACGGACTGAGATAAAAAAAAAAACTTCACTTTTATGAGACAAAATAATCCAATCCGCCACTGTACAATATTTTCATTAACGCAATGGGCTTGGGGCATTTGGTGTTTTTTTTGGTAAAAAAACAACATCTATTTATAAATTATTAATTATACATATATAATAATATATATAAGCGCAATGGTTTAAGCCGAAGCTTATATTAATACGTTACTATGTAACTCATCACAAACGGATGCATTATCTACACTCATAGACTGTATTCGTGGTCAAAGGGGGATAATTTCAATTTATATGCAGTCCGTAATAAGATATCATACAACGTCATTCAGCACGATCGACAAAATTGTGGTCAAAGGGGGATAATTTAAATTTTGTGTGGTCTGTTATTATCATAATCCGTGACACGCAATCTTGCCTCTTTCCAGTCAACGTTTGATTGACAAGAGACATTTCATAGTAACAAACGAACAGTTCAAGATTGTTTTTTATCATTTAATAAAGTTTGGTGAAACTTTTATCAAGGTCGAAATTTCCATATAAGTAGAGACTTTTATCGAGACGAAAAATATCAGAAATATGTCGAACGTTAAATTGTAGTGTTTTCAATTCCATGCAAATTTCAGTATGATTCATTCACTACCCTCCATATTTCTAACATTCTACGTTGATAATTTGTCATATGTAGGAAATATTCATGTTACAAATAAAACTTTCGACAAAAATCCTTTTTAAATTATTTTGAAAAACGGGCGTATGAAGCGAAATCTGGTTAAAAATGAGGGCTAACGGTATAAATACAAATGTTAAAAAGGATCAAAATGAATGGTAAAAACCAATCTTTATGGACTAAGCGAATACTCCCAGTTGTTTCCTTCTGACGAGAGGATACTGCGAAAGCGATATACTTTATGACTCAGTTGCTGGTCAAACCTATTCCTAATTTTCAAAATTTGGCTCAAAGAGTCCCGTCCCCGAAAACATTTCATCTGACTTGAGCTTTGGTTTGACAGTCTGTGCTCACCCTTCAAGGAAAGAATGCCAATGGTCTAGTTCCCTGGTTTAAGTGCGCCCACGGTGACATAATCCTGTTCAGAATAATGAAATATATCCCATGTCCATTGGCCACATCAGTATGATACTTGCTACTTTGAAATAGTAAACAAATGCAATGGAATTTAATTTTTTGTCTTGTTGTTTCAGGTCAGGGGGATTATTTACTACTGAGTTTATACACCATGGTTGGGATACCAGCCCATATTGAGGTTAGTATATAATTATATTATCTTACCTGAAATGGGCCATCCTGATTTATCAAATGTGCATGAGTTAGTAAGATGACATAACCCTTGAAACAGAAGTTATTACATATATTATATTTAGGTCTCATCTAGTCATGAAATGATACCAGCTGACCTGAAGTAACCTCAATCTAATATTCTAATACTGGTGCATTTTTTTTAAGTGAGCTATAAACATAAGATTATAATTGTGAAAAGTAATACAGATAGTTTCAAATGAACTTTAACAGCATGTGAACTGAAAATGCTCTGACCACATCGCTTTAAATTAATGAGTAATGCTAGCATGGAAGCTTCGCGTAAGTTGAAAATTAATCAAACCCTTACCACCCTATTTTGGCCTTTTTTGACATAATTACACGCATAATCTATGTGCTGTCCTTTAGCTTACAAGAGTCATCTGTAAAATCTAAGTCCTTTCTTATTCTTTGATTCACAAGAGTCACATTCACAAACAGAAAAACGATTTAGTTCCCAGGAGATGCTATCTTGGTGGATGTACAATACTAGACAGAGCGGTGTCTTTAATTCCCAAACAGCCACGAACTTCTCCAACTATCCGACAGCTCATTTTAAGACTTGATATACGCGAATTTGAAAATACATGTTTATGACACTGGCTGCAATAAAAAGTTGGAATGTTCTTATTAGATATGATGAAACGAAACAAACAATTTTTCAATATGAAATTTTGTGACTATATCTCTTGTAAGCCTTCTTGATAGCAAATGATTAGCCATCCCACTGTGACGAATTTAAAATCGGAATTAAAGTTGTTGGTCTTAGACACTCAAGCGAAAAATCAAATAATTAGCTTGTGTCTACTATCATTGGCTAAACGGTATCATTCTGATTTGATAAATCAAACTCACATTTCTTTTGTTTTATTTCCAGGGTTCCAAGAACAAAATAGCTGGTCTTAAGCTATAAGGACATTCTACTAGGAGGCCAATAGTTACAGAGGTTATGGTGAAGTGCAATAAAATGTTCTTTAGTCGACTCTTTGAACAAAGTTAGGTAATGATTTATCTTAGTTATTGTCCTTATCTTAGCAGAAATATGTAAAATGTACACAAAATTGACTTTTAATATTGATTAACATGGCTTGCTTTAGTTTATTTGTAATATCTCTGTTATGATTTTTGATGAACACTTTTTGCAAGGGTACATACATTAACTTTGGCAAATTTGAAGAAACTTGGTATGCATGTTTTTGAAACATTCTCAGATTTGTCCATTATGTTATGTTTTTATACTTTTAAATAAAGTTTCACTATAAAGAAATAGAGTGCTTATCGTGTGGCACAAAAACTCGTAGGGCAAGTTTACTTTTATTACAACTATTCTTATCTATAACCGATAAGACCCCCAGAATATTACTAAACTTCTGAAATATCTCAGATATTATTGGCCTTACAAGAAGGAATCCAAACGTTTTAATTTAATGAGTTACAGATTGTGAGATTTTTTTGTTTATGTTGTTAAAATCACTGTGTGCCTTATATCACTGACAAGTGAAGTGAATTGCATTCCTGTATTTCTACAGGTTATTAAGGGAAAATCTTCTGGTAATTTTCCTACCCGCAATAGCACTGCCACAATAGGAGTGTTCTGAGGTCATGGCCTTTATAATTCTACAGACCTCCTATTCACAGAGGAAGAGGAACAGATGAAGAGGAACAGATGAAGAACAGATGTAAAGGAACAGATGAAGAGGAACAGTTTCGGCGATTCCTCCACCCATTTGTTGCAAGCTAACCTTTCAATAATTCTTAAATTACATTATTTGCTATGGAAATTCTTATGCCTGGTTCAATAGCGATACCATGCATATCATAGTTTGAATGAGTGAAAGGCTTTTGTATTCTTTTTAGCCGTCAGTGGGAACTCGATAGCTAACTTTACTGTTGGGTTTGACACACACCACACACAGTTAGATGTCCAACAAAGCACGTTTAGTTTTATCTTAATTTGTCGTGTTCATCGTCTGAAAGGGATACATATTTGACAAACCCGATTTCAGAGTAACATGGTTCTTATTTATAATGAAACTTAAATTCAAGTCATATGTCTTGTTCAGCTTGCCTCTCCCTATCAGTGATGCAGGCTGGATGGGTGAACATGTTTAGTCATTTTATTGGTTAAAAACTGAAACCCCGTGCTGTGGGTTGAATTCGGCCGTAAGTAATCCTTCGGACATTGCTTTTGTTCTTATCTCAATTATTCAAAATGTTTCAAAATGTAAAAATGCGATTTTTTTGAAAAGATCGGTTTGTATTTTGATTCTGATCGTCTCTGGATCATAGTATTTAACTAGTATTTTTTGTACTGTATTTCACCTGAGTCCAGTGTGGAATTTGTCTCTTGTGCACCTGAGAGGAATTACAAAAACGACAATGTGTTATTAAACCATAGTGAGAATATTGATAGCGTTTTTTATGTCATACATTGATTTTGTTTTAAGAGGTTTCCATTGTGTGAGATTTATCACTTGCCTTTCTCTGTTAGTTTCATTCCATATTTGTGATTTTCCCTTTTTGGCCTGTCTAAGCCTACTTAATTGATGTTTACTATTATTAGTTTGTTTCCTTGTATCTATCTATTGAGCAGTTTTCCTTAAAATGATACTATACTATGCATCTTTTCTAGAAAAAAAAGTCTATTAAAAGAATTTGTTCCATTCAAATGAAATACTGATTGAAAGTCAAAAAAGGTAAAACAACATGATTACCATCTATTGAAAATTTAATAATTAAATCTACTAGGTTTGGAGTTAATCACCGGAAGTAACGTGTTGTAAGATTCGTTCCTATTCACCATTTTACACTCTCTGGCTTCCGGATCATCAGCGCATAACAGATGAATGATTGCACTGTAAAAAGATTTTTTATATGGAATACAATCTGAATTTTTTCAGAATCTAGACTATAATAATCATGATTAATGATATGTGTGTAATATTTTTCTCTAAAAAATCAGAATGCGCTTTTATAGAACTCATTACATGCATAAAGGTTACTGTAACTAAATAAACGTTTTTTAACAACGCCTCCTGCAGCAAATCAAAGAGCACGTTTTATCTATCCTTAGTAAAGGATTCTTAGCTGAAGTCTTGAGTGTGGCAAAAAACGATAGCCCTTATATCCGATAATCTACTTACGCTGGATCGTCGAGACAATTGAAGACAAATCCTCTGTTTAAGATATCTTCTTGTAGATCTATTATAGAACCGTTACTACACGTTTCCCTGAAATAAAAAAAAAGTTGTTCAAAAGCAATAAAAAATGGATCAGATTCTTAAACCCAAAAAGGCGTGAATGTTTGACGTTCACATTCATGCATTATCCTCTGTTCGAACGGTATCACCGGAATCTCAATTTCTACCTAGAAGTGTTGAATATTCCTGGGTACGCCGAAAAAGGATTAATATTAAGATGTACTTACTTAATAGGACCGTCAAGGTTGTGTTTAACTATTATAACAATCTTATTCACATTTTCTAAAGCTGGTAGCTCATACTTAGAAAAGAAACTACAAACATATTACAAAGATTAATTATATTAGATCATTGTTGGATTTTTAATTTGTTCAACATGTTGCACTTGTGATCTTGGTCAAATATTCTTTCAAACCAATTTTTGTCGCCGATTTTTTTCGGGTACTAGATTATTGTCAAGAGTTTCACCCACCGACTGCGGGACACACGAGGAGACAAAAAATTTTCAGTCGTTCATATTTTTCACCATTTTGTGATGTTATGTGTCATGCGACTAAACATTTAAAAAGACATGATAAAATAAAAAGTGAGCTCCGTGGGAATCTTGTCTCATCGTGAGTGAAAGTACACGATGAAAATGAAGAATCGCCTACAAATATCAAACTGGCTTGTCGTGTGTACACTGAAGATTATACAAAAGATTCGGGTCGACGACAAAAACCGTTCGTTTTCCCCCCAGCATTACTACATACCTGTCTTTGCTGTAAGCAGGCTTGTCTTTTCTGGAACCATCCAACATCAAATATACGTCACCATTCACACTGGAGGCAAACTGGAATTTTTACATCAGAATTATAACACGATTATGTACAGCTTGGTCCATTGAATGTCAAATGTATACTAATATACTAATCAAGAAAGTAGCACCCACCTCTCTTGAGGCACTAGCCCAAAAAGATTCACTTGATTCGAGAGGACAGTCAGTCCATGAAGGACACCTTGTGAAGTTAGCTCCTGTTGATCCCGAACCACACCAAATCAAACTGTTTGCCAGGAACCCGATCATAGTGTCTTCCAGGGTCACAAACCTCTTGCCAGCCTCGGCGTACTCGTGAGCTATATCATATGTTCCTGACCAAAACATTCCCTAAAAAACAGACAGGAAAAATACCTTTGAATCATTATTAATTTAGCAATACTTTATTAGCCTATTTTCACTAAATCATTCTCGTAGTAAGCTTCAATTGACACAAATACGTTATGAAACTTGATTGTGAACTAGAAATTATAATGTCCTTATTTGAGGTTACTGCAAAAAGAACTCCATGAAAGGTCTCGTGTTTGTCATTAAGTTGATGATGGATTCTATCGTTTTTAGGAAGTTTTGTTTAGCCTATTAAAGCAATCACCATCAGACTTAATATTAGTCAAAAGCCTAATTCTTTGGGTATATTCTCTCCACAATACACGGTTATAATAAACTCAAATTATGTAGCCTTTAACAATTGTTGGTAGACGTTTCCATATTAATATATTTCAGCGCATCAATTTACTTTAGTTTTTGAAGATTAAAAGAGTGTAGCAATACCAGAAGCAATTTGTGGCTAAAGTTTGCTTGCCACGAAAATTCATTGTTCAGTTTTAGACCCACAATCATTCGACATTTGGGCCAAAAGGTCATGTGTTTTAATCAAAATGATTTAATACTACCTTATTTTCTGGGACGTTCTGTGAGGCGAGATCTATGTATTCCTTATAATGTTCCATGGCTACATCGCATGGTGCTTGATAGCTGAAGGCTTTATAGAAATCATTCCATAGATCATTACAATTCACATCAGTTCTGAAATGGGGGAGAGAGAATTGATCTGCGCAAAACAAAACAAATATTAATGCAAAATTTGCAGTTTGTCCTGCTCTGCCTTTATTTACCCAACATGGTAAGATGTTAAAGTCAATCCGATTTCATTCCTCATAGAACTAATCAATGATGAACCTTTTTCAAAACGATGTTGACTGGAATAAAATTTCTTAGTTTAAAAGTTCTTAGTTTGAACTGTCATCATTAAGATGATAAAGACAGACAATACCATCCGTGTGCAATGTGGGAAATCTTTCATTGACTGTAGCATCCATTGGTATCTTATCTGTTTTCAATATGTATATAGTGACTTGTGAGTCACCCAACGACTATACATTTCTTCATGTCAGTCCCTCCATTTACAATAATTGAAAACTGGGTAAAGAGTTACCTCAGTGGAAATTCTTTATGTTTGATTTCCTTATAATCCCAACATCTCCCAATAAATATTTCTTTAAGATGTAAAGTGGTTCCAGGATTGTTGTTACCCATTACCATAAAAACAAGGCAAAGAACCGCTGCTGTTTGGAACAAAGACATCTTTTACAATAAAACCTCTTATGAAATAAAAAAATAAAACTCATAAAACACCGGAAAAGAAAATAAATTGTCCTACATCCCCATACATACCCTTTCTGTTCAATAAAAGATTTTTTCAGATGCTTATTTACATTCCCCTTTGTAGATATTATGGATCATTATTTGTACACGAACAGGACGTTCGATGGAATATACAAATCAACCGTTCCTGTTGAAAACTGACAGTAATGAAGACTTACCTATTCAAAATCGAGAATTATTATAATTTACATCTATATACAAAAGGTGTGAAAAAGGTCCTTAACTACTAAATATTATTTATATTTGTTCACCAGTATCTTATGTTTATTTATTTTATCGATAGTGGTTTATGGGTTTGTCCATTTCACAATATTAACTTGATTAAATTACCCAACACTGACTTGATAACTTGGTGAAATGTTATGACTGTGTCATGTAGACTCTAAAGGTATACATAGATAGTTAACAATCACATATAATGCCCTTCATAATATAATAGAGTATGAACAATGCGTCGCCGTTTCGAGTTGCTGATGGACCTTGTAGATTCAATTGGTTTATTGCATGATCTACTTCGGAAGAACGTTTCCGTACCATCGCTATTGGGAATTTTCTAAAAATTAAAAATCATGGTACGTCTTCAGGCTGTGCAATCAGAAAAAAGATCTATCGAGTTTGAAATCGAAAAAGAGTAGCCATAGCAAAACTTCGTTTCAACTATGCTTTTTACACACTTTCCATGGTAGCCCGACAAATCCACCATGTTTTTCGAACGTGGTGTAGATAACGCACCCCAGGGACGCGAAGGTCAGCTTTGCCGGGCTATTTCCATGGCTCAGTTTGCATTTTCGGAAGTACATGCATTTGCCATTGGACACAACTTTACAACCAATGATAAATAATTGGTTCAGAAATGGTCACACCTAGTGTTTGTATTTGTTATCTGCCTTATTTAATCAGATAGCGATACAACATTACAGGTGTCAGCAAAAGTGATATACGATATACAGGTGTTAGTAATGAAGATACATGCCAAATTTACTCGGTGTCGAGTCAATATAGTGCAGACATTTTGCTTCGTTTTTAAATGTTTGTCACACTGTTTTTGGTGTATTCTTCATGTGATATGAGGGCCTCTGGGTTCGTGGACTTCCGTGCAAGGTTTTCACTTCTTAATATGTGGCTAATGAACAACTAACATCCATGCCTGCCATTTAATTCTATATATCTAAAGCCTGACCTGACGTTACACTATAACTCCAAAGTAATCGGAAAGACTTCGAAAAATATCCAAAAATCTCACTTTGGTGAACTAAGGCAAAATTGGAAAAACTTCCAAAGTAAGTAAGCTCTCAAGCTGAATTTCACCAAGATTATCCAGATTGGTCCTCTGGATATGTCAGAAAAAAAGTATCTCATATATCTGCCTTAGTTTATGAAATATTGGTATTTTTCTAAAAATTAGCAAAACGGCTAAATTGACTGACATCGAATTCTCATAGAATTGGGCAATTCCTATCATTTGTACCTTGAGGACTTAAAAAAACCGCATAAAACAGAATCAGAAGAAAACTTCGAAAAATACCCAACAAGGTCAGGCTTGGGGACCTAGGCCAAAAGTCGAACAAAAGCTATAACTTCCACAATAAGTAAGCTACTGTTTAGGTAGGCTAAATACGGTCGATTTTTAGACTTTCTTCAGCACTTCGTAAATCGTCACTGTAGGTGCCACAGAGTTGCCCTCTGGTGGCTGGGTAAAATTTACTCAATTTGCTCAGTTTTTCGCCAAAATGCAGGAAACAACTTTGAACCGAATTTCCGATCTCCCCGCCCCCCCGGATCGAATTTATTAAAAACAAGAAAAAACATTTGGTCCAAATATGAAATTTTTCCTGGTTCCAAAGTTACAGCCGCTCAAAATTTGACCAATTTGCTCAGCTTTTCCACTTTAGTTTTTCGCCAAAATGCAGGAAGGGACTTTTAACAACCGTCACTGTCGTAAGTGCGACAGGGTTACGCTTTGGAGAGCGGGTAGCCAATATGTGGTTTTATGAATGCATCACAAAACTTATGAACAAATTTCGGATCTCCCTTCCGTCCCCAAAATCGATTTTTGCCAAAAAAAAGAGAGAAAAAATTCTTATCCATCAAAATGACAAAAATGAACGTTACAGCCCTCAAACATTGCGTAATTTTGAAACAATTTTATTTGTCTCCAGTTTTTTGCTATTATGCAGGAAATCAACGTTTAATCAAATTTTAGATCTCCCAAGACGGTCTTTTTTTTTCAAACGTTGTTCTCATAGAGGTTAAGGTTTATGACGAATAGTGTTATGTTATCACAAAGGTGATATTAACTCGTTGAGCTTGGGGTGAGCTGAAATCAATGTAGGCCTGAAACCTCTCTACACCTGTATTGTGTGTTCATTGTGACTGCAGACGTCCCAGGGTTCACTTCTTCTTGTTGTCATGTTACGAACACAACAGAAAAATTTTCTCTGGATACAGAATTAGAATTTTGCCGATTCAAACTTTTCAAGGTAAATTTTGTGGTTTTTTCCCTAACCTTTAAAGTTTAATTATATGTTTTATTCCTTCTACTGTATACTTAGCATTGTGTTTTTTCTTTCAGTTTATGATTTTTCATGAGAGATGTAATCGTAATAAAAAAAATTCAAGCTAAGAAAGAATAGATGTTGATGAGTAGTACTAAATAATTCCAAGGTAAAGATAACTTGATTTTCATATTGATATGACAATTTGAATTTCACTTTGAAGCTTTCAAAAGGTAAAGTTTTGCTTCAACTATGTAACTACAGTCGCCCTCAAGCATGATTTCGGATGCATGCTAAGATTGAAATGTAATGTATTGAAATACCTTATCAAAAATGTATGAAAGTATGCGCATAGTGAGTACATATTCATCAGTAGGACCAGTGGCCATGACTAAAGAATAAAATCTTATAGCACGATAATCTAAGTAAATATCTACCTGCTACCAATTCTTCAATATATCATGTGTTTTTTGGGGTTTTATTTACAATGCATTTGATTGTTTTCATGAGTAAATATGAATATAACAGTTTTGTCCATACATTTTGTCTTTCGTCTGTATCTGTGTATCAGATGTTTTATTAATTCTTTTTTTTAATATTACAGGTATGCAGCATGAATGTTAATTCATCTACAAGCCAAATACATTTGTTTTTAATCTGAGGTAGGTCAATATTAAGATTTTTCTATAAGTTATATGTCATGATTGCTATAAATAAACAATTTATGTTAATGTTTGATATAACTGAAGAATAAGATAAAATAATAATATAATATAATATAATATAATATAATATAAACAACACAATACAATATAATAATAATAATCATGATATATAAGAATAAAGATGAAGGAATAATAATCATATAATATATAGGAATAAAGCTGAAAGAACTATAATTGTATTATATATAAGAATACAGACGAAGGAAAGATAATGTTATAATATATGATAAGAATAAAGCTGGAGGAATGATGATGTTGTAATCGCAGGAAGGTTATGTAAAATGATAATGTATAATATAAGAATAAAGCAGAAGGAATTATATTAATTATATATAATGTGTTATAAAAGCCAATGGATTAATAATGTTATGATGTATGATAGGAATGAAGCTGAATGATAATGTTATAATATATGATAGGGATTAAGCCAAGGAATGATAATGTGACAATATAATACAATTTGATACAGTCGAAGGATTGATAATGTCATAATATATGATAAGGATTAAGCCAAAGGATTGATAATGTTGAAATATATATAGTGGATAAAGCTGAAGGAATGATCATATTGTACTGCATAAGAACATAGCTAAATGGATGATACCTATATATGAATAAAGCTAAAGGAATGAAAATGTTATAATAGGAATATGATAGGAATTATAAACAGTAAGAGAATAATCATATTGGTTGTTACATTCTGTTGATTACAAATCCTCTTCCCATTCTTAACGGGATCTTCCCATGGTTACGATATAAGATCCTATCCACTAGAAGGATAAAAAGCATAATCTCTCCGAAGCGTAACAGGGCTCCATGTGTAGCTTCCTAGGGAACGGAACACTTGAATCTGAGAATCTATTGGGTTTATTTATGCTGCCTGTTGAACTGTTCAGTAAATGTGTGAATGTGTTTTAATACAAGTCAATTTCTAAATCTGTTTTTGTTTGAAGAGGAAAGATGACTTCTTTAGGCAATAAGGGAAGTCTGGCCAAATTTTTTCTTCCCAATTCAAATCTTATCCCCCACTGTGGCTATAATCTGGTGAGCTATGTATCATATAAGACGTAAAGAATGAATGTTTAAAGCTCATCAGGTATATAAAAGTGTGTCAATTTGCAAGTATGAATGTATTTTCCATTTTAAAAATCTTACTTTGTCTGAAGAGAAAAGATGACTTCTTTAAGCTAGAAGGGAAGTCTGGCCAAATTTTCTCTTCCCAATTCAAGTCTTATCCCCCACTGTGGCTATAATCTGATGAGCTGTATATCATATAAGACGTAAAGAATGAATGTTTAAAGCTCATCAGATTTATAAAAGTTGATTTTATGTGGACGTTATTTTAGTTCTTATACATGAAGTCAACTTCAAGTATGAATGTATTTCCAAGTTCAACAGGGGCTTTGTTTATAAATACAACTTCTTTAGGATAAGGGGAGTTGTCTAAAGCTAAATTTTGGCTCGTTTTAGATATTTTCTAAATTATTCTCAGTTTTCTTGTGTTCAACGGATAAAGGATGCATACCTTGGGCAGGTCCTGCGTCTATCGGGTGGCATACTAAACTCTGGCGGTGGGACTAGCTGTGGGATTGGGACCATAAAGTGATAGCACTGTGTAACAACCATTTGAATATTTGTTTTACTGTTTATTTTCTTTCTTGAACGTAAAAAATCCTGTGAGTTTTGGATTTCAGTTGGAACATTGATTTTTTAA